ATGGAAGGGTGAGGATGTGTGTGTGACAGGCTGCCCAGGGGAGTGGTGGAAGAACTATCCCTGGTAACATTAAAAATGTGTGCATGTGGCACACGGAGGGACATGGTTTAGTGGTGAACACGATGCGGTTAATAGTTGTGCTCAATGATCTCGGATGTCTTGTCCAACCTAAACCACTCTCTGATTCTCTATATTACACATATAATATGTATATTTGTCTGTGGTTTATGAGGAGTTGGAGTTTTGCCCACAAAAAGGCACAGAAGTAATTGTGCAACCCTGCATCCAATTAATTTACCGCTATTAACTTTTCTCTAAAAGAAATCAATGATTTACTTTGTGAAAGAACTTCAGATCTTTACTGAACAAATGCTTCAAAATTTGAAAATAGTCCTTTCACTTTGATTTCTCATGACATTTTCATAGTACTGCTTAAATAATTAAGGACTTTTCTTCTTAAGGCTGGCCTCGGAATTCTCAAATACTTTTGAGCTTTTTAATTTTAATGCAGGGAATGGGATGTTAAGGATTAACCAAAGATGTCTTCTGCCTCAACTATTGATAAAAGTATCCATTATTTTTAACTGTTAGAGAAAACTTTAAATCTTTCAGTAAATTATTTGATGTATATGTAATTACATATGTGTTACATATGTAATTATATAATATTAACTTTCTAATTATGCTGGCATCAATAAACCTCAATTTTTGTAGCTAAGAATAAAACTCTCTTCCTGGATTTGGAAGTTAATTCAGTGATTCTGTCTCTTCTAGGGGCTGATACAGGGGAACTGACATGTTACTGTTGACCTCTTCTGCTCCCAGGTTATCCTATGCCCCAAGAGGACAGCTCTTGTTTATTGTCTGCACAGGCCATTTTGGAGACATAGTGCAGTTTGGATAGCCAAACAAAAGTTCTTTTGGTCTGTTAAAGACTTTATCACGTTCTGTTGACTGCTAGAGCTGAGTATTATGCCATGGAGTGTTGTTCAGAACAATTGGAGTGCAGGTGTTGAGGGCAGTGTGGTGCTGTGTGTCAGGATTGTCCCTTGGTCTCAACAGGCACTGCCTGCTTCAGCTTCTCAACCCCTTATGGCTAAAGAGGACTTGGGGTCTTGGCAATGATATTTTGTAGATGTCAGAGGGGTGTTTCCTGTGATAAATTAAGGAGGTTGAAGTACAAAGGGGTTTGTTGTTGTTGCTGTTGTTTTCCAAACAGGGTAAGACTGGTTACCCTTTTGTATAACTTTAATCAAAGTGCATCAGAGTAGCAGGGAAACTGCTCTATGCTCATAAGCAGTGGTGAAAAAACAAATAAATCTGTATTAGATCTAGATGTTTAGGCCATAAAACAACTTGTACCAGATTCACTGAAAGTTAGCATTATAGTTAGCAATGTACTCATTAGACTGAATGCAAATTTCTTTGTTTAGCAATTTTTTGGCTGAATTTAAACCAGTCAGCTATTGAAGTGTTTGGGGGTACTTTGAGAAATAGTGATTTAGAAATTCAGTGCTACTATGTTTTAAGTTAATTAAGCAGTAAGAACTGAAACAGGTATATCATCATAAGAGTCTAGATTCTTATAAGGTCAGCAGTTCTCCAGTACATAGTAATAAATGCAATTCCTGAAGGTCAACATTAATATGGTTCAAGAATTACATCTTCAAACTGTATTAGACATAGCCAATATTATTTTTTGTCCATAGTGACAAAATTAACTGGTTTAAATGCATTGCTTGCATCTCAATATTTCATGTTCATCACGGACTGGAATTTAAAATGCTTATGGAGAATCATTATTTTGCTTTTTTTATTAGCATAGAGGAAAAAAGCAAATAACAAGTGTGTCTTGTAAGCAATTTCACATGTTTTCTGCTGACCTAATATAGGAAAGTTGTTAAATTTCTCATCACCACATTAAACCAGGTCATCTAGGTAGATGTGCTCATTTCACTTTTTCAGACAAGAAATCTGTTTTTAATAAATGAGCTATGGGCTCCAAGGGTGAAAGGAAAAAAATCCAGCAATACTTCTCTGCAAAGACCTTCTTTGTTTTGAATGTCTGAGTGAATTCTGAATTACTTAGATTTCTTACTCTGTAAATCATTCTGTTCCTTAATGATGATACAGCATAACCTTCCTTTGATCATGCATGCAAGAAAAGAACCTTCTCAATTTTGTAATATGCAAAAATGCGAGATTTTTAGGACATAATATATGTTTTTTTTTTCCAGAAGAAATTATATTCCTAATGAATTCTATCCTGTTTCCATATCTGTGTGTAAAATACAAGAAAGTACTGTTTTAAAAATCCTCCTGAATTACTGCTTCTGTGGTAGATGTGTCTGAATTATGCCTCTTCAATTTTGCCCTCTGCTGGCTTTCTTCAAAGTTATTTGTTCTGCCAATTTCTATGTCTAACGTTGCTGCTCCCATGAACAAATTGACTTGGATGAAAAAATGAACCTTTGTATGGTTTGTGTGATTTGCATGTCTCAAAAAATCTGTTATTCTGGCTCATGATTTGGAGCTGTGTAGTTGTCTCTGTAAAAGTCAGTATGGTTGGTAGTACTGCTTAAAATGCTTATGGTTGGATATACTGTTTAAAATATTACCCTAAAGCTGATTTTTTTCCCAAGTTTACACTAAAATCCAAAATAAATTTATTTATTTATTTATGATCTTTTCTCCCATGTGCAATCAGATGCTTGGAAAACATCTGCTGCTCCTACTCAGGTTTTTGATCTCATTAATTTTCTAATACTTTGATGCAACAAATTCATCTTGTTTGTTCTTATTGTTGTCACTTTTTCATTTAAAAGTCATTACAATTTATGTTCATACTGGTTCTCCATCTTTTCCCAAAGATCAATCTTGAGTGCCAACAATGGTGGAAAAAATTACATTTGTTATCCATTTTGAGACTTCTGTTTTACAAATTTGTTTTACAAATGTACAAATCCTCTTCACCATCTTAAGGATTTGAAGGTTATAAAGTCAAGCACTTTGTAATGAGAAGAAATAACTTTTAAGTGGATGGTGCTTGTTGTAATTAATGTACTCTTTGCACATGCATTATCTTAGTTCTGTGTGAGATACTATTTTTATTTACTAAAATACTGTGCTCTTTTCTCACAGTATTTGGTTTGCAGGAAATAGCTTTCTGTGAATTTCATGCTGAGTCAGAAAAAGATAGAGCAAATAGAGCAAATTGCTTTTTTGTGACCAGTTTTGCCAGTTTGTAGGACTTTTGATACTTTTCTACCCTTTCAATATCAGAGCAATCTCAATCTTGTTCATTCACTCCAAACCATCTCACCTGAGAAATAATAAATATATGGAAGGTTCTTCAGACAAGCTCCTGAGATCTTCCTTGTGTCGTGTTAACTTCTGAATTGGATGATTTGAAGCAGGGGAGTGTAGCAATGGAACAAAAAAAAAATAAAAATAATCTTGTCATGTAATGCACACCCAGGAAAGGTGTTGAACTGAGGGAATTCACAGTGAGGTGATTCACATTTCCTAAACTTGGAGGTTTTGATTTGGTACTATTTCTGTCTTTATATGCCCAAGTGTGTATCTCTGTGCAGTGCATGCAAAAAGAAGGAGAAATATTATAATTCTATGACAGTTAATAAGAATTGGCTATTTAGTGAGATCAGGATTTGACTTTACGTGTCCATAGCATCCCATCTTTTCCTGTAATGCCATTTACTCAAGACATAAAGCATCCTTCATATGAGGAAGTTTTCTTGAAGGAAGGAAAGTGGTGACATTTGCTTTATCAAAATGAGGTTTATTCCTTGTGTCATAATTTCTTCCTGAATTTACTGTTTCTGATGTCTGTTAAATGAAATATAGGAAGGGTCCCCTTCACTACCCTATGCCTACCATGTGCATAGATAAATTGTGGTGTGGTTTATGCAACATTATCCCTTCTGTCTCACCCAGTAGAGGGTGGCTGGGGAGACCCTGCCTGTTCCTGGGCACTTCTCTGAACAGAAACTTGGTAGGAGGTGGGGTTGTAGCTATGCTATCTTGGGAAATTGGTTAGAGAGAAATGGTAATGTTGACAAGTGTTGAAGATGTGGGCCAGTTTCACTACATCATGGGTTGGCTGAATGAGATGGATGAGCTCTTTAGAGCTGTGGCTTGCAGGAGATGCACATGGAGGATTACACAGGAGGGTGTCAGAGAGGGCTGTGCCTTGGAAGGTGGACAGTAGAAATAAGATGTGTGTGTCTTTTGAAGCTACAGAGACCAGTGCCCAGGGAGAGAAGGTGATGAATAGTAGGAAAACTGTTCATGAAACTATTTTATTCTTTAATATCTAATTCTTTTCTTGAATGTTTCCACATCCTTGTTCATTTTGGAATCTCTTTTATATTTTGATTTCATCTCCATGCTTTGTGTTTGTGTATGTGTTATATCCCATTCCCGTTGTTCTGAATTTCAAAATATATCTCTTCAACTCCCCTTTGGTTTACTTTTCAAATGTGTAAATTTGCAACATAGTAGGTGATTTGGTATTCTACTGGTGACATGTCATCATTGGTAAAGCAGCTTTTCAACAGCAATTATGCCTAAAATTTGCTATAAATCTATAAAATCATAAAATAAAATTTTATTTCCTTTTCTATAACATCTTTTCCCACAGAGTGTAACAATCCTTAGAGAGGAAAGGAAAATTACACCAGCAAGTATGGGTAGTAAAATATAGTATATGGGTTCAGAGAATACCCTGTTAGATGTCTATGTAGATAGCTGACAGATTTTACTAACCTCCTATCTCCAATCTTAAGATTTTGTGCAGTAAAAAGGCAAAGACTTAAAGACAAACTTTTAGGGAAAGGTTAATGAAAAACGGGGAAGAAGTCATTAAAATAATAAAATGTACAGTACAAGTACCACATACACAAGTGGAGGACATAGTATAAGGAACTCTAGTTGATTCCAAGATTTTTAAGGCTTAATGAACTATGCTGGTGTTATTTCAGCTGGGAAGTCCTGAGATTCCTTCTGTCTAATCTGAGGATGTGGATTGAAGACTATCGCTTCGATGGGTTCCGGTTTGACGGTGTTACGTCTATGTTGTATCACCACCACGGCATTGGTAAGCGATTCAGCGGCTCCGAGCTGCTGCAGCTCTGTTCCTGTGGCAGACTGCTGGAAAGTTCACTGCTTCTCACAGGGGAAAAGATGTTTAGCACAGGAGCTAGAGGGGCTAGATAAGCCCCTCTAAGGGGAAGGGAAAAGGGGCAAAACCAGGCTTGCTAGTGATGTACAATGGTGTGGCAACACCCAAAACTTGAGGACAGAATCACTAGGAAGATCTCTCAATCTTCTTCACAAGATGTCAGCTACAACAAACCACACTGGAAGCCTTTCTGTACCAACACATGCAGCATGAGGAGCAAACAAGAGGAACTCGAAGCTTTTAGCCCAGTCTCAGGGATTTGATGTCATTGGCATAAACAAAACCGGTGGGATAGGTCCTGTGGTGGGAGTGCCACAGTGGATAGCTGGATGATTGGGTGGGAGCACAGTGCAGCTGGCACAAGCAGGTTCAGAAGATTCCTAAAACACCTGGGTGATACAGTGTGATTCTGGGGGATGGTCCTTTGCAAGGCCAGGAGTTGGACTCAGTGATCCTGATGTGTCTCTTCCAGCTGAGGATATTCTGTGAATAATCAAAAAATTCCAGATTTGCTAATTTTCTTGCTTTGTTGAAACGAGGATAGATGGAAAATCATTAATACGTTTTGTGCTTATAAAATTAAACACTGTGTGAAATATCTTTGTTTTCTAAATAAAACCTGACTGTGGTTTTTAAAACTTCTTGTCTTATTAGGCACAGGGTTCAGTGGAGATTACAATGAGTATTTTGGCCTACATGTGGATGAGGATGCTTTGTGTTACCTGATGCTGGCCAATCACATGATTAAAACCTTGCACCCAGAATGCATAACCATAGCAGAGGTAAGATCATTTTGCCATCCTCAGTGACATTAATATTGATTAGTTTGCTTTAGGATGTGAATTTCCTGTTAATTATCAAGTCACACTTTGGGTACTCAAGCGGTGACATGAGCTGAAAAATATTAATTAGTGGACAGACTTTGCCTGGTGGGGAAAAACAACCTGAATATGCACTCTGGGAATTTTCTCTGCATTAATAGATTATTAATTAATGTGGCGATTTCTTTTTCTTTTTTTTTACCTTCATCACCTTGAACTTGTAATGAGAATTGTTTTTATTAGTTTATTACTTCTGCATGATAGCCATTAGTCAGTAGTGCTCTGTGGTACTAAAGATTAACAGCCCTAATGATGTTTTGCATATTTTGAATTATATTGGTATATCTGACAATTACCCTTCAAATTAAATGCAATAAGCTTATAAATGTTGACTATATAGGCTAATTTAAATTTATTACTAAGTTTCTCCAGGTTTCTAAAGGAGTAAATAGACTATATTGCTTGAGTTGATTGAGATCAATTTTTTTGACTGAAAAATGTTGCTGGCACATGGAGCTTCTAAGAGTATGAAACAGCCAGGCATTCAAAATTCTGTGCATATTTTCTTCTTTATCCAGAAGAAAAATAATTTAAACATCGAGGATTTTTTCTGTTTAAATTATGTTTAAATAATTCAATTTCTTTAAAAGAAAAAGTGGGATCTGATATCATTAGGGACTATATGGATTTCTAATAAAAGGGTTTGTAATGCTTAAGAGTTTTTTTTTATCTTTAAAAAGCAAAATACTGCTTAACTTTGTTTCTTACTTACAGTAAAGTTTTCTATTATAGACAGCCAGTGCTAAGAGCTAAATGACAAGCTACCAAAACAGCATCTGGGGAGCAATCAGTAGCAAACTTGAGGTATTTTCACTGAGCTGTAGGCTTACTTGAAATTGAATCAGTTAATTTTCCAGGTAGCCTTAGATCATAAGCATTCCTACCAAAGAAATTCTGAGTTTAGCTGTCTTGTATTACCTGACCTAAGAGTTTTTTTTTTGGTTTTTTTTTTTTTTTTAAATTTTTTTTTTTAGTAAGATGTGTCTTTGGTTTCCCTTGCTTAAGTTGCAAGCTGCTTCTTTTTCAATACATAATTTTCTGCCTCGGGAAGTTGCTACATGAATCATAGAATTGATCAATGTGCTTCATGGTTAAAGGAGAATTTCAGAAGGAGAAACTATTGACATAATTGAAAATTACAAAAGGCAATGAAGAATGTCTCCTTGCCTGTAGAATCACTGCCATGTGAGAAAAATGTTTTTCTCTGGCCATAACTAATTATAATATATTCCCTAATTAATGTAATTAATTGATGATTTTACAGCTTTTTAATATTCTGTATATTCACTGTCTTAGTAATTGCTAATTTTTTAGGTGTTACTGAGTATATGCTTATTTTTCATTTTGTTCTTCTAAATAATGCAGTGATTAAAGTCTTTTAGAATGGAAGAAAAAATGTTAAGTAAAATTGTTATGCCTGAATTATTATAAATACAAACAGGCAAAGAAACAGTATGCTGTGGTTTCTTTTTTTATATGCAGATCTTTTTAAACTTGCTCTGCACAAATGCTTTGAAATTAGCTGTTTAATTGTAGTGTGATGGAATGGCCTGGGTTGGAAAGGACCTTAAAGATCATCAAGTTCCAACTCCCTGCTGTGAACAGGGACACCTTGTTCCTAGCCCAGCTTGCTCAGAGCCCCATCCAACCTGGCCTTGAACAGGGATGGGGCATCCACAGCTTTTCTGCACAGCCTTTGCCAGTACCTCACCACCCTCAAGTGAAGACTTTCTCCTTAATATTTAATCTAAACCTAATTCTCTTTGAAGCCATTCCCCCTTGTTCTATCCTACCAGAAGTCCTCTCTGTCATTCTTGTGGGCTCCTTTCAGGTACTGGAAGGCCACAATTAGGTCACCACAAAGGCTTTTTTCCTCAGGCTGACCAATCCCAGTTCTCCCAGCCTTTCCTCACAGCAGAGCTGTTCCATCCCGCTGATCCCCTTGGTGTCTCCTCTGGCCCGGCTCCAGCAGCTCCCTGTCCTTCCTGTGCTGGGAGCCCAGGGCTGGATGCAGCCCTGCAGGTGGGGTCTGAGCAGAGAGGGGCAGAATCTCCTCTCCTGCTGTCCGCTCCTCTCCTGCTGTCCGCATTGGATACAGCCCAGGACAGATTTGGATTTCTGGGCTGCAAGAGCACCACTGACAAGTCACAGCCAGCCTCCCACCCACCAGCACCCCCAAGTCTTTCTCAGTGGCTGCTCTGGATCTGTTCATACCCAGCCTGGATTGATTAGGAGGGTTGCCCCAACCCCTTGGGCTTGAGTCTTCTTAAACCTTGTGAGACTCCCATGGGCCCACTCAAACTGCTTAAGACATCACTGTCACAGCCAACTCAAACTGCTTAAGACATCACTGTCACAGCCAGCACTGAGAAATGGGATTCCTGTCTGAAGCCACCATACCTGGTTTCGTTCCCAACATTTCGGCACTTACACCAGCCATGGAGCAATGCATGAATAGGTTCAGTCCATCCATTTCTTTCGGTGTTGCTGCCTTCAACTAGAGTTAGAGAGGAGAATAGGGCTTCTGCCTCAGCTTTCTTTACCAATTGTCCTGAGGCCCTGAAGTCCTTTTTGATCCCCTTTGGATCATGTGGTGCCACTTCATTGCCCCCTCTGTGGAAGATCAGTAATGGGTTGTAGTCTGAGGGCTGTACCAGGCTAGGAAGTTTCCTGGTAGAAGTACATTTGATGGAATATCTACTAAACAAACTATCAGTTAAAATTTGTAGACAGATATAAATACTGTTAAATTTGGAATTTTACTTCCCAAAAATATGGATTTCAATATTGTGACTAAAGTAGATGGGAGCTGCTTAAATCTCAAACTTGGACCTTCTCCAGGAAAGCATCATGGCATTACAGAAAAAGGCTTTTGTTTCATATCATCATGACCTGTATAACCTAGAGACCAAGAATCTGTGTCTGTCCTTTCTGACTGATTTAGGAGAGTTGTTTAATTTTTCATCACATCCAGCAGTTTGTAAATAATTTCCACTTCACTGTTTGTTTTTTATAGCGTGTGGAACATTGGTGCAGTTTTGTGTGATCCAATGGCTGCTGGCTGAAGGGGGATAACGCCCTCCTTTGATCTCCCAGCTTTGCTGTTCACACAGCCTGGGATGTGCTGGCCATCCCTGCTGCGTGGCCAGGCTGCTGGCTTAAGCTCAGCTTGCTGCTGGCCCACAGCCCCAGGCCCTTCCTCCCCAGCAGAGCTGCTCCCCAGCCTGGCTGGCCCAGCCCGTATGGATGCAGGAGGTGGCTCATCCCAGGGTCGGATTAACTTGGTGACATTCTGTGTGACATTTCTGCTGATTGATTCCTCCAGCCAGTCCCTCTGGATGGCAGCCCTGCCTTCCACCCCTGGGATGCCATCCATGAGCTGCCTGGTGATCTGGTTGATCTCCCTTATGTCAGTGTCTGTGTATGCCTGTATGTGTATGTGTGTATGACTTGAAGTGTAAATATCTTCTTCACTATTCCAGTGCAGCAATTGGATTGAAAACTGGATTGGATCCAGCAAATCAGAATAAGCTTCCTAATTAAGCCCTGGTTCTAGTCAGTATTAATTCCATAAATTCTCTTGTGTAGATGCAAGAGGTGTTTGTTAATCCATAACTGCTGTCAGTGAGAAGCCATTCCCCCACAAAAGCTAATGAAATTGAGTACTGATGGATATTTTGCAATTATTGGAGACTTGCATTTTCTGTCCAGATAAGTTTAGAAAAGAATGCTGCATGGTAAAATTGCCCTACAATACAGTGAAAAAAATATTTTGAGAGCATGGAATTACAAATTTAAGAATAGTCAGCTTCCATCAATATACAACTGGAAAATTATGCAGTAAGAGCATGTCACTTTCCAGGACTAGCTGGATCAATAGGTTTGGTTTTGGGAAAAGAATAGAGATTGTATTTTTCTTCCTTAGCGTACTTTATATTTAACTTTTTTTTATGCCATTCCTTATGCAAAATATCAATAAACAAAATGAGGGTTTAATTTGTCATTTGTTGACTGCTTTGTACTTTCTATTGATTACTTGGAGCTCAAGAGAGCTAATTATTTCAAACTCTTCATCTACTGAGGTCTCTTCCCATTCAAATATCTACTCAATTAAAATATTCTGAGATAGAATATTTGATGAGGAAAGTCATAAGGATTTTCTTTGTAACTTTTACATTCAGACAGCACATCTGGGTACAGTAATAGGTGATTTAAATTTATTCTTTTCTCCCTTAACCAGGTCAATCTGTGAAGCTGTTTATGGAATGTTTGTATATCAGTATTATGACATGGTGGGAAATATGCAGTAATACTTGCAGTGCTGTGGAATTTATGTTGTGGGGTGTTTTATCTGTTCCAGGATGTTTCTGGAATGCCAGCTCTCTGTCGGCCTGTCGCAGAGGGAGGAGGGGGTTTTGATTATCGACTTGCCATGGCCATTCCAGATAAGTGGATACAGGTGAGAACTTAAAAAATACATTCTGCTCTTCAGAGTGGGGTGTTTCACTGTCACTGCATACACATAAACACTTCTGAATCCCACTGACAAGTTTTGCTTTCTCTTGTGTTAATATGCTATTGAAATAAATTCTGACAGGCTTGAGCACAGGTATTAGAGGCTGAAATGAGAGCTGTCAGATGTTATGTAGGTTTCAGGTGAGGAAGTTCAGGAGCTGGGATTCACATTCCAGCTGATAATTGTTTTCTTTGTGCAATACACATAAGCTCAATTTCTTTGAAATGACCTTTATCTTGCAACAGCTGTAGAATATGTAATCTGTATTGAATGTGAACAGGTAGATAAAAAGTTAACCATATGCATATAAATATAAAAAAAAAAACAAACAATAAAAAATCACTCCATAAACATGCAATAAACCCTCCTGACACTGGGCATAGAAATTGGCATTGAATATAAATAGACCTGAAAGTTTAAGCAAAACCTAGGTGAATTACACAAACACCTGCGGTTGGTATGGGTGGGTTACGAAAAGGAATAATATAGATTTGTAAATATTAATAAATTCTGACTACAATAAGGATTTATATCATCTTTTCCTTAATATAGAGCATCACAAGGAAAATCATAAAATGATCTGAAAAGGCTTCTACTGATGTTTTAGAGAAAGTTTTTCAGTTAGACAGAAGATTACACCCAAATCATTCGGGCTGTCATGATGATCTGAAAACAATAAATATTTGATATGATCATTAATGCTTCAATAAATATAGTGTGTAGCTAAGAAAAATTAAAAAAAATAGCTTACCTTCATCATCTTTCAATTTTGTAACTAGGAGGTAGATGGCCAATTCAAAAACAGATTTCAAACCTCATTTCAGAAGATATTGAGAGCTTTTCCGAGACACCATCATTAAAATTTGGAATGAGTTATTTAGACATTTAGGTCCTGGAATGCAGTAAGGGTTTGTTTTTTTAACAATAAATACCTAATTGAGATGTTTGATTTCTTGGAGTTTTGTTAATTTGGGTTTTTTGTTTGTTTTTGTTTTGTTCCTTATCATACTTCAGGGCAGGCAAGATAAGCAATTTCATAGGTAAGCAAAACTCAAGTGACTAAGTTCATGTTACATGGGAAAAAAAAAGACTAGAATTTTGCAAGTGCAAAAGATTTACATTCTAATTTAGCAATCTCTGATATGGTCTGCTTCATTTAATTCACAATATTTGGCTAGGAAACATAACTGTGCATAACAGAAATTCTGTTCTTGAACTGGAGAAAATGTCAGTTTTTCCAGCTTAAGCATGTACTTGACATGGGACAGCATGGAACACTAATGGGCTGTTGAGAGCAAATCAGTTGTGACTGAGATTGTACAAGAACTTAGAGTGATGCAGGCAGAAAGCTTCTTGCCAAAGAAACTGCAAATAAGTGACCACAGTAGAAACGTGGAGTTAGAGAAAGACATGATGCCAGAGTTTGTTACTACATTTCTTGAAGGGGAAAAAAAAAAAAGCTTAAATAATTGGAAGGGAGAAGTTTAGATAAACAGTTTATCTTCTGTTCCTGAATTCTCCTAGACTGCTTACTCTCATTTCTCTCCCATTTTTAAGTACATACCTGTTACTAGGAAATCTTCTAGTCAAACTTGTTAAAATCAGTTTGAAAACTGAAGAATCTCCATGGGATTCCATGAACTAATTCTGGGGAATCTTTAAAAGAAAGATAAACTGCTTGTTGCAGCAGTGGTTGTACTAGTTCAGATTCTGGATAGATGTAGTAAGTGATACGATGATAGGCACCTCGATGTGTTCAGAGCCAGAATTCATGGACTTAAAGAAATCAACAAAGAAAGGAGGTAAAAAAGACTGTGTAGGATGACATGGGGAGTTACAATTATAATGTTAAATTTTGCATCATGACATTGGCCATCTTGGTGCTATTGCCTTTTTATCACTTCTGGTTTTATGTCTATATATTTGCGTTTATGCATTTAAGTCATAGTGATCAATGGAGGTCCACAAAGTGGTGTAGAAAAAAAAGAACAAACTAACATTTATGCATTTAAGTCATAGTGATCAATGGAGGTCCACAAAGTGGTGTAGAAAAAAAAGAACAAACTAACACTGATACTGAGCTAGATTTAGCAGAGGAAGGAAATAATGTGATATGAGGCAGAAAATTCCTGTTAATGGGATTCAATTTAAATTGCTAAAAATCAGGAGGTAGCACTGCACTGCCCAGTGGTTAAGCTTTATTTGGAAGCTCCCATATCCCAGGGTTGCATTGGTCTGTGCCCACATATTTCTTCCTTGGTCTTGGTGCAGTGGTCTCTTGCAGGTCCTATCAATCACATTATCCACTGTATCAGAGGATTCACATAATAAATGGCAAAGCCTGTCGTCCAGGGAGGTAGAAGAGAAACAGAGTGTTCTAGGTATTATATTTATGTGGTTAAATTGAAAAGAAAAGAACCCAGCTCTTTGGATTACCTGAGAAAGCTCATCACTTCAAAACTTGGGAGTGTGAGAATACAGCTCACAGTCCATTGGAAATTCCTGTGCCAAGATAACGTTACGTGTTTTTAGTTAAAACAGCTTTTCAGTGATCTTTCTTTTATTTCTGTAGATAATTAAGGAGCTGAAAGATGAAGACTGGAATATGGGCAATATTGTGCATACATTAACAAACAGACGGTATGAAGAAAAATACATTGCTTATGCAGAGAGTCACGACCAGGTATCTTCAGCTCTTTTATTGTTCATAACCAAGTAAAAGATCTTGTTTAGGAGTTTGGTGTTTCGTTTATTTTTTTTTATTTTTAATGAGAAAGGAGTTGAGGAGGATGACAGGAATTTCAAAAATGGGTAGATTTGGACTAGTGCTCTTTTTTTTTGTTTGTTTGGGATTTTTGTTTGGTTTTTTGTTTTGTTTTATTTGTTTTGCTGTGTTTTTATTTTATGATCCTTCATTTTAGCAAAAGAACCCTCCCTTGATTGTGTGGGTAATATTGGCTTTGTTTTTAAGAAATGAGTTGTAGATTCTTGTTTTGCCTGCCACAGAACATAGGAAGGTGTCTAATCCATGCTTTTGAAAATCCTGTGTCCATTAAGTAAACTGGAACACTTTCTGATAAGCATAAACAGTATGCCAATTTAAGAAATTTGTTCATGACTTTTCCCTTCATGAAAGTCTTTCCTCTCTGGAAGGATTGAAAACATCCGCTTTTGAGATCTAAATGAAATATTCTGTAACAGTTTGGTTCAAAGCACAGCAATTGTAATAGTTCTGTGTATGGAAAAACAAAAAGGTAATGATGAGTTTGGATGACACTTGTCTGCCATAATCTTTTTAAATCTTATTTCTGAAGGGTTCAGAAATACATAATTCAGAAATTGTGTTTCAGAAAACACATAATTAGGGAATTGTAAAATTGCCAACTTCAAGCCTTTTATTAAAAAATTGATATTTTGTTTAAGTAACCAAGCTTTCCTTTACATTATAGAGGTTGATATTCCAATTTTAGTACTTCCTATAATAAATGTCAACAGAAATGTCCAAAGCATGTTGTATATTTTAAAAAGACCATTCTGAGTTTGCCATTCATTATATCCATTTTATTTGTACCTATTTATATTCTAATCTCAGAGTCTGTTATAGTGTTCATTTAATGCATGAGCCTGATAAAAAACTTCAGAAATTACTTGGAAATGTATATTATTCTATAATAAGGTGCTTTTATCAAAGCTGATTATTTACCCTAAAGCACATCATGTAACATTACTGTTGCTGTTCTTTTATTTCATGTTGATTTTTAGCAATTGTTTTCCATATCACTTTGCATTTTCAGTTTAAAATGTCATTCTTAGGGGAAAAAAAATCTCATTATTTTTAATTAAAATACAGCTATGATTACAGACTTGCATCAGGCTGATATGTGAAAAGTAGGATAGAGAAACAAAAAGTGTAGATAAAATTCAATCTGAAGGTGCCTGAAGTGATGCACGTGAGGGTGCAATCCTGGTTTCTTTTAAGCTGTAACAGGCCATGAGCTGACTCTTGCCAGTCAGAATACAAGGCCTCATGGTTATAAGAAGAGTGTGAAAATAGCAACTCCAAAGCTAAAAGCTGTCAAAAAAGCAGATGCAGTCCTGGAATTGTTATGAGTGGAACAGAGCAAAGAGTACAATCAGCATGGCACTGCAGTATTTCCTGGTTTGTGTGCATCTTCAGTGTTGGAGACAGGTTTGGTCCTGTACCTTAGAGAATATACAGCATAACTATATAAATGCTGTGAAGATGAATAGCAGGTGTGGATTGATTTTCATAAGAAAAAAACCTAAACAGAATAAGATTCTTTTGGGGTAGCAAAGAGATCATTGAAGGGGGAAATATATCCATTTATAAAATCACAACTGCCACAGAAAACATGAATAGGGAAACACTTAGCCGCTCTTCCAATAGAAAGATAAGGGGATATTAAATGGCACTAACAAAATGCCACATTCTGAGTCCAGAAAGTAGTTGTTCATTGCAGTCTTCAGTCTTGTCACTGGAACATATGTTTGTTTTTTTTTCCTTTAAATAGGGTATTTTTTACTTAAGGGAATAATCTATATATGCTGTTATATTGTCAGCTGTAAAATGAAAGGATGAGTGTGCTTTTCAGCTAGACCTGCTTACAATTCATCTGTATCTCTGGAATTTAGTGAATTTTTTTCAAGGGTATAAAACAAGAATTGGGCTAATTGAACAAAAATCAGCTATTGAAATATAAATGCTTCAAAATGTTCTCCACTGCCTGCCTGCTAATGTATTAAATAGCATTTTATGGCCTTTCTCAAGTATCAGTGAGCACCAGCAAGTTAATAATTCAGATTTTTCTTTTGTGTGAAATCACAGAAAAACAATCACATTCTTGATTTCATATAAGTGAATGCTACATACTCGCTCTGCATGTGTGAGTCAGAGTTTTTTTATACCCATTTATTTTTATATTCCAGGAACCTTTACTTTAGATGTTCACTTTCTCATTTTCTGTGTTTCCTATAAAAATTCCCAAATGTAAGTCAGTTGTGACTTTGTGAGTCGATGCTGATATTTCACATTTGATCTGTATGTGAAAAAGTTCTTAGAAGTAGTTAAGCAGTTTGACCCAGTTAGGTGAAATGTAGGACCAGAGGTTAGACTCTGTTACCATATACACTCAATCCCATCAGTCCAGGAATGACAATGGAGAGGTTGCCAGGGGAAAGCAGACAGCTGGGGCTGACATCCAGTCCAGGCTCAGCTCGTGGACATCCCTGCCTCGGTTTTTGGCAGCAGACCAGATCTGTATTGCACATCACACAGTGCACAGATGCAGTGGTCAGAATGTAGGGTCCACATGATCTGGTGATCATTGGCAGGATGCTTCCTTCAGGAACAGGGACTGGGTCATGCACACTGAGCCATGTCCTTGGCTCCTCAGTGATCTTGCAAGTCCTCCCCCTGTGATACAGACCACCTATTTTAATAAAATCCCAAAACCTAGAAACACTTGTATTACACCCAAGGGTCTTCTCCAGTGTCTTTCTGAACTGTTGTAGGCGCTGGTTGGTGATAAGACGCTGGCCTTTCGCCTGATGGATGCGGAGATGTACACAAACATGAGTGTGCTCATGCCTCTGACGCCAGTTATTGATCGTGGGATACAGCTTCATAAAATGATTCGTCTCATTACTCATGCACTCGGAGGAGAGAGCTATCTGAACTTCATGGGTAAGTAATCTCAGGAAAAAGTCTCTCATTTTCTCATCTGCAGAATGCGTGGCAGGGAAGTAAAATGATCTGACATCATCTTATATCCACAGTATTTATCACAGTGCTGAAATTTGGAGCATAAGTGCTTTTATAGATTTATTACAAAAAGGTAATATGCGTTGTTTTTCTGTCTGTAAGATGTATGATAAGACAAGAAAATAAAATCAAGATGGTTTCTAACTGCAAGAGAAATAACTTTTACAACTCAGACTAGTGTTTTAATTGTTGTTCTGCAAGTTTGTCAGGTGATGAGCAGTGGCTCACCATTTCTATTTCATCTCTATTCTTTTACTTCTTTAAATTTTTTAGGGTAACAATGAATTTACTGAATATAGCTCTGCTGATTTCAGTTATTAATTGTCAGGAAGTAGTCTGGAATCAGTCGACCTATTTAATTGCTTCTTATTTCTTAATGAGGTAGGCAAGGACAAATCACAGACACAGGAGGCACATTCTGTTATCAAAGCACAGAAACTGTAAGAGTTAATGGTACTTTCTTCTGGTCCATAAACTGTAAAATAAAACTGTTGCATTACTTCCTAAGTACAGTTTCCACAAGAAACTGTTAGTCTAATTTAATCATCAAGTTACAGTTTCATTTAAATGTTGACTATTCTTAGCTTTATCCAAAATTCCAAAGCTATTTATGCTGTCTGTCCTTTGCCCCATTCATTAGTTTAATTTCTTTGCAAAATAGTTCTTTACAGTAAAAATGTCATGTGGTCTGACAAGTTCTGTGTAGCATTTGTGATGCTCATGGGGAACAAAAAGGCTGAAAGCCTGCTACAAAATCACATCTCAGTTTTCTGATACTGTAACACTTGAAAATTATAGAAATTTTAGCTTACTTCTACTTTTGTGGTTAAATGTTTTGTTATATAAAGTTTAAGGAGACTGTTGGATGTATATTGTCTTTTTTCTATAATATGGTGTATTTAGCATCACATTTTCTGATTCAAAACCTGGAGATCATGAGACACTGGATTTAAGTTTGCCTGTACTGGTGCATATTCTCTTTCTTTGTATTAGGAGAACACTCAGAAAATACTGTGTTGATTTTCCTAAAAAGAATTGAAGCAATTTCGGTACAGAATAAACTAATTCAGTATATGCAATAGTAAAGTAAAATAAAATAGTAAAATAGTGAAACTATTATTTTCAATAAAATGCAGGTGGGTTTTTGTTGTTGTTTTTTGATTTTTTTTTTCCTCAAGAGTGAAGAAGAGTTAATAAATACTTATTTATTGTGCAATCAGGCGCCAAAATGTTCAAGGTACGAGGTGTATGCTTCCATTCAAACTAGTGATGCTACAATAGTTAAGGAAACGGGTGCTTACTAAATAACCTCTAGCTAAACTGCAGGTGTCTTTGCTCCAGATTGACTTAGTAAGGTTAGAAATATAATCAGTAATGCAATGTGGCATGTTAAATCCAGTGTGTCAATGCTGGCTGATTGAGCAATTAATATTGGGTATCTCTGAGTACTGCAAATGGTTCAGTAACTACATTATAGTTTGCTATATGTAAAAGGTGAAAAGATTGTAATAACTGTTGGAGGAGAAAACATATAAATTCAGAATGCTGGCAGTCTGGTGGACTTAAAATGCATGTTGCAACATGCTAGCTAATTAAGCAAATACAGTGACAAATGAGTTCTTTAATTTGCAGGTTTGTCTGAATGCCAAAGGTAAGAAAGAGAAGCTTGCTGTAGGGTGGGGGAAGGAGTGGAAGTCTTCTTTCACAACACATGGAGAATGCATTCTGGGTGTCTCTGTGATCCCCTAGGTCCTTCCATTAAGACTCTTGTACCTTTTTTGTCTCTGAACAAAGGCTGCTTTCTAAATGCTTTGCTCACCTTAAGGAAAAACAAACCTCATAAAATTCTGTGTCTTGAGTGGAAATCTGTTTTTGAATATATTCTGGAATTTCTTTTTGAAAATCTGTAATAATATTTAATTTTAATTACACATATGTTGCAGCATCATTTGGGCTCCATACATGCAAGCAGGTTCCTGGTGACAGAAGCTGTGCATCAAACACTGATTGTGGCTTTCTCTCTTTCTCACTTTTCACACTGGATGGTTCTCTGTCCTTCTTATATGTATCTCTTAAGAAACCACTGCAAAAATCCTGAAAGTTGTTATTCTTATTTTTCATGTTCCTGGATGTTTAATTTTCACTGGAGGCTTTTATTTTTCTTCCCACTTGCCCATATCCCTGTATTGGCAATGAGAATTGTATGCAAACTTAAAAGTGAATAAGAAAGTTCTGTCATTGCAGCAAATTGGTTCCCTTGTTACAAAAACCTTTGGGAGCATTCTTTCCTCCAGTCTGTGTTTTAGTTTTATGTGCTGCTTTCCAGGTGATCTCTTGGGCTTCGTGTGTGCATCTGGCATGGAAGACTTAACCTAAGAAGGGAAAAGCTCCATATGCTTGGCTGAAAAATAACAGTGATAAATGTCCTGCAGCACTCTCTGGAAGGCCAGTTTGTTTCACAGTCATAGTAAAATAGTAGCAATTGTTTTGAAACTTCTGCTGTGACTAAAGTCTCTTCCTTCAGAGCAGGTAGAGAGCAACAAACCCAATGCAGCTGTAGTTTGAGCAACCCAGCTCCTGCTTTAGCCAGATTTTAATACTGAGACAGGCCAGTTATGAATCAGTTGTCACAGAATTTTAGGAAGTCACAAGAATTCCATGTTCTTCTGCACAATGCCTTAGTTAGGAGCACATGTGCTTCTTCAGGGGTTTCTTTCTTTACTATTTTTCTATGAAGGCCTTGACATAGACAATGCACATTTGAATGTCTGGACTTTAATGATGCTTATAGGCTCAAGCAGTTACAATGTGAGTATATTAAACAATGAAAGTAGTCTTTTTAATTGTAAATAATAATAAAAAACTCTCTGTTCTACTCAAGTATTTTTGTTTGTAGTTATAGTGATATTAAAATAGCATACACACCTAATTAATTTAAAACCAAAAAAGTATATGCAAAAAGTATTTAGGGCCATAGATCTCTGCCCTCCCTAATTATCAGGATTTGAAAACAAATCCAAAACAAAAAACTTGTATCTGACTAAAATTCTTAATTTTCAATTTTAGTCCCCTACAAAATAACAAAGAGATTGAGCATAATTTCTCAAGCACTAAACAAGGACTAATAGAAGTTGTTATAAGACTTCTAGAGTATTACAGGAATCATCTGGTCTCAGCTTGAAAATAAAGCAACCACTGTTTTTACTCAGCAATGTTTAACTTCAGTGTAAAGACTCACACATATTTCCTGAAAATAATACTTGAACTTATCACTGCAAACCTGTTCTGTGTTTACATCCTTATATATTTTCATTTTACTTCTTCTTTTTTATTGCTACCTATTCTAGATGAAATAATAATTGTATCAAGAACATAGATATTTAGCTTAAACCTAAGGGAGTTTGGTTCTCTTTGGCATGTTGCATTTTTACACTTTTTTCTGTTCACTTTGTTTCTTACATCTGAGCACTAGTTACAGGGTGACCTTTTTGACCATGATCTAAAGAGTGTCCTTGGGAGAGCACATACTCTTCAACTTCACTCACTTCACTCACCTCCTCTTGATAAGCAACCTTGAAGTACTCACTTGGAACAGACTGCAGCTTTAGGAGAGTTAGTATAAAATCATCCTTCTTAATATGCTTGCCTAGGAGAGGTGACAAATGTGCTGCCAGTTCCAGCAAGTGCTTTAATTCCATGGCAGCCTGACAGAAAACAATTATGTTCACTTTAAAGTAGAAAACAAGGGTGTAATCTGAAATCTCACCTACAGTTTCTCAGAGACTTAGTGATAGCCCACCTACAACTTTGTTGCATAATACCCCATATGCAACCCCACTCACAGCTTGGGTTGGGCAGTGGGAGTGGGAAGAATCCAAATTTATCTCTTAGGCTTCATAAATCACTTTGACAGTCTCTTCTGCAAGGTCTAGAGGTGCAAACTGTTAATATTTATTCATTTAGAGTTGATTGAAGCAAGCTTCATTTCTACACTTGCTCAAAACACATTAGAGTGACTGGGAGAAAAACAATTAAAGAGAGAGACTGTCTCATAATTCAAAACTAAATCACACACAGACCTGTCTTATCGCACCTCTCTTCACAAATGTCCAAATAATAGCAATCTGTTGTGCAGGTCAGTTGTCCATCCTCCTTGAAAGTGTAGGGAATAAAACACTGTACATGTGTGTATGTTATTTAAATACAGAAATAAAATTGTGAGCAGCAACAGTTTATATGTGGTGGTGCATCCATGTCCACATTATCACCTCTCAAGGCAAAAACCTTGAAACAGAACTTGACTTCATAGTCAGCAGCATCCTCAGAACTGAGCTGTGTTCATGGAGTGAAATCCAGGTAAGATTTCCTAGGACTAGAAGGAATAGTCTTAATTGAGGTAGCTGGCATTAATGGCACTTTGTTTTTCTCTTAGTTTGTACCCACATCTGCTGGGTATGGGCTATGACTGCATTACCAGTGGAGAATATATATGGTACATCAAGGCATTCTGACACTGTGCACCAGTTACAAGATGTTGGGTTGTTTTTAAGGATGGCACTGCTATTTTATTTATTTAATTTATCATTATGCTTAGTAGCATTATTTAACCATGGGATGCTGTTGCTGAAACCTCTGCTAGTGTCTAAAGCTTTGTTCCCAGGGCTCCATCTGTTGCCTTGCATATTTAGGATTTGTACAGCTCACAGTTCAGACTTGTGATATCTCCATTATCCATGTGTGAGTGCAGGCAGCCTTGTATATTAATATAATACTTGATGTGCTGGGAGGGCTTGCTAAAGAATAATGAACAAAGTTGTGAAATTAATCTTTAAGTTATTAGAGTTGTAAGAGTTCTGTTTCTGTTTGTATGACAACCTTTATTTTTTCACTTTATTGTTGTTTTATTTGTTGTTGTTTTGAAG